ACTACCACACAGATTCCTTCCCGCTGCTAAACGCATCAAAAACATCAGACTTTGGTTTACCCTTTTACCTTTTTATATTCCCTATGTGCATGGAATCATTTTTTTACTATTCATTTACCGTTTTGATTCACTTCATTACGATAGTTAATCGATCAACTTTTAAGCCACTAATAGCTAGGTCTACCCCCGTTTTAGAGCCCACATTAAGGCCCATATCACTTTCTTCTTTTATGTTTCATTGATAAAAAAAGTTATATATCAAATTATGAGTAAATATTATTTTATAATTATTCAAAAAAAAGTTATAAATTAAATTATGAGTAAATATTATTTTATTATATGCAAAAAAATCAAATTATGAGTTTTTAGTTTAATTTATATATCAAGTTATGACTTAATACCCAAGGGGTGGTTTTCTCATGTCAGATCATTCATTCGTTTATAATTTATTTCTATTGTGATGGTGAGAGTTTGGGTACATCATTTAATTTGCCTTTTTATATTTTTTATTTTTATATGTTAAGTTTGGTTGAGGTTGACATCTCACTTATCTTATATGCTTCTTCAAACGAGTCGATGATTTTTTTAATGTAAAAACATAGTTTTTATGACATATATATTTAGTAATATATTTTTAGTGAAAAATTTGATTTGACTGTAAAATTATTATTTATTAGGTAAAAATTTAAAAATATTATAAAATATCCATTTCAAACCAACATAAAAAATTAGGTTTTTTAACTTTTTCACTTCTTACTTTGTGTTTAGAAGCAATTTTATACTTTTACTCTTATTAATGTATGAACTCCAATCATTTACCTTAGAAAAATAACTTTGAAATTTAATTTAATTTATTAATTATATATTTATATTTATATTTTAATAATTTAATGTTAACATCTTAAAAAATAATTTTTTACTTAATAATTTATTTAATTACTCAAAAATAAATAAATTTTTATTTATATATTAAAATATTAATAGTGAGTTATTATAAAATATATTTTTATTATGGTTATATTGTTTATTTGTATTTGTATATTTTTATTATGATTTAAATTGATATATTTCATATATAATAATTTCTTTTAAATTTATTTATAATATATTTTTTTTAATTTTTGAATGGTTGAAAATATAATTATATCATTTACATTATTTTATTTTAAATTTTAAATGAATAATTATGGTTAAATCAAAATAATTAAAATATTATCTTAAATTTCAAATGATAAATGAGTGGTTGTAGTTAAATAGGAAGAATTATTATTCCACAATAATTTTAAGTCCACACGTTAAAAGGTATGATAATATATTTTTTCTTAATAAAATATTATATATATAAAAATATTATTATTGACTTATCCTAAAATACCTTTTTATATTTTTATTATAGTTTAAGTTAATGTATTTTATATCATAGTATTAATAAATGTAAGTATTACTTAAATATTATATTTTTAATTTATAACATAATGTATATAATATACATTTTATCTTTTCAAAATCGTCATTTAGTAATAATTTCAAACAATTAAATTTTAAACTGCATTTGAAAAGAAGTTTTAAAAGTAATTTTCTACGACAATTTTAAAAGTTATTTTTCAACAGTAATACCAAATTGACCCTGTTCGAGTCAAAAATCACGTTTCAAACATAAATTTTAGTTGAAAATGAATTATTTAAAAATACTTTTATAATAAAATGAAATTTTGGACAAAAACAATTCCATAAACATTCCCAAAACGAAAAGCTTTCAAAAAGAGCTTTGCCCATTTTAATTTAAAATTTTAATTTAAAAATAAAAATAAAAACCATAAAATTAAAAAAAATCATAAAAATAAAAAGAAGTCCATAAAGATTCTTTAAAAAACCAGTTTTTTTTTCTTCTTCTTCTTATGATTTTCCAAACTTTTATGATTTATTTGTTAATTTTAAAAATATAATTTTAATGATTATAGAGGTCAAAATGAACAAATTAAAAATTTTAGAATCCAATAGTTATTTAGATAACAGTCAGTAGTGAATGGCAATGAAGGTGGTGAGTCGTAGATCATGAAAGGAGATTTTAGTTGAATTTAATGGTCAAATCGATATTTTACATACGATTTAGAGAATAAAATTATATTTGATCTAAAATTTAATATTAAATTAATATTTTATCTAAAATTTTAATAATAAATTAAAAATTAATATCTTTCATTAACATGTCACGTCAACAAATTAACATAAATTAAAACTCAATGATTAAAATATAACAACTGCTGACATATATGACCAAAACATAACCTTTTTAAATTTATTGAAGAATGTACAAATACAAAAGGAAAATGGTAGTTTATCCAATTTTATATTAAACAATGACCTCCTCCCATCCTATTAAGTATTAGGATAAATTAAATATTTAGTATATAAACTATAAGTTTTAGTTGGTTTTAATATCTAAACTTTCAATTTTTTCAAAATCATACCTAATGTTTAATTTTCATTTTAGTTTAGTATATCATCATTAAAAGCTTAACGCGTTTAGTACCTAAACTTTCAAAACTTAACTTTTTTTTATTAAGTTAAGGTGATTACAAAGTAGTATTCATTCTAAATATTCTCAACTATTTAACAATGAACGCTTAATCACTTTACTATAGTCGCTGATGCTCGAACTCGTGACATATAAGAATAATTATCATTTGATTCATTAAATTTTCAAAACATAACGTTAAATTTTGAACAACAGTATTAAAATGAAACAAAAACTAAATTTTTTAACAAGTATTAAAATGAAATAAAAATTAAACTTCATGAATAAATTTAGATACTAAAACATATTAAAATTAATAGTTTAAATACTAACGTGTCAAAATTCCAAACCTATTGTATAATCTCAATCTTACACCGGCGGAACGGATCACTATTAGTCTCATTCATCTTCCTGTTATATGTCTCAAATCTCCAGCCAAATATTTCACTTTATTTTCTGCATTTTTTCCCCATCACTCAATGTCCCCCAATCCCAAATATTTTCCTTCTTTAATGAGATTTAACCCAAACGAAACAAAGAATTAGAGCTCACAATGCGTGCTGAATCAAGCTCCGCAACAGCGTCGTCGTCGTCGGCGCCGTCCCCAAGTGGGAAGAGAAGCAGAGATCCCGAAGATGAGGTTTACGTCGACAATCTCCATTCTCACAAGCGTTATCTCAGTGAGGTTTTTTTTCTTCTTCCTTTATTTTATTTCACTCGTTTTTAAAATACCCAAGCTCTCAATCTTTAATCCTTATTTAATTCTATCCTATTAGATATTCGTAGTGTAGAAAGTTTGATCATCTAATTTTTTTTTCTAGTTTAATTTATCTGGGTAGTTGACATTTCTTTATCTCGGTTTATTTTTTTTGGGAAATTGCATTAAAGGGTTTCAAATATTGGGAAATTGAAGTATTTGCTTGCAGATAATGGCGTCTAGTTTGAACGGATTAACAGTTGGGGACCCACTTCCTGAATATCTCCTGGAATCTCCTGCTAGATCCGAAGCTACTTTCTCTCCAAGGTTAGTTGTTGCAGATAACCAAACCCAGAATTATGAAAGATTGAAGAGACTAAATGTTATGACCCACCCTTGGATTTAAGCTACTGATTGATAAATGTTGATAACTACATCAGCTTGTTATACATGCTTTTCTATGTTGATCAATGGCTTGAAGATAGCAATATATAGAAACACATTGTGCAATATCTGTCTTTGGCATTGTGCTTATGTGGGAATCCATCTTTTCTAACAAGATGCTGATATTATGTTAATCTTGCACTAGCTCTTATTTCGATATCTTGGTGATTCTTGTGTTGAATTTTGCCTGTGACTGGACTGCATTCTATGAAGGTCTCGTCTTCAATTTTTATGTGATGAGGATGGATTGTATTTGTATGAGGTTAACCACTTAGCTAGTTATCTGTAGGTTTGCTTAAGTTGGATTAGGTTTCAAATGCTCAGTTTTGCTAGCATTTCCGGATGCTAATTTCGAACTTAATATTTGTATGATTTACTTCAACGGTGTAAAATATCTGTTTCTATGTTTCTCCTGACAATGTGATTAAGCTTTTGCATCTTTGTAAAACTCATCCTCATTTTTGTTTCTAGGGATGAGATGGCATGGCAATATTCACCAATGTCTGAAGATTCAGATGACACGCGATTGTCCGAGACACCTATGAACACTTACTTCTCCCATCCTGATAGTCGGCCTACAAGTCCTGTTTCTCCATATAGAAAGACCTCTGAACGCATTCTGCTCCACTCCTTCAACCAGTTCACACCATTTACCTGGAAATGTCGGCGCTGGTACTTGTTCGCAGCCTCGTAAAAGAGGGTCCGATACAGAGGGCCGGTTTCCATCCTCACCAAGTGATATTGTCCACTCCTCTGATTTAAGGAGGGCAGCACTCATGCGGTCTGTTCAGATAAAACACAGCCAGCTGGTCAATCATCATTAGAATTGCAATTTGGTCCAGGTCAAGAGAATTCGCCTAGTATCGAAGTTGAGGAACAACGATGCTCATGTGTGAAGTCTTTAATCGGTATGTTCCTCACTGGGTATGTCTGATCCTGAATTTAGTCGAGAGATCGTTTGGAGAGTCTAATTTGAATTTGAAAGCGGATGAATCTGGGGATTAGATGCTTTGAGAAATCTTCGCCAGCCTTTTTCATAGCAGTATGCATAAAATCTCGAACGAAAATCCTTTTTTGTTTTCTATTGTATTAATAACTTGATATTAATAGAATACTTTTTATTTATATTAAATTATGATAATATCAGTAATGATTAATGTGATCATGAATTTTATGAAAGCAATGAGAGGGAAAATTGGTCACGTTTATACGGGTTAAACCCCGATTGAGGCTCTAACAGGCTTATCTCGGAAGCTGTCGTAAGCAAATGCCGTTTATTTGATACTCAAATTCTAATGAACTCATTCTAGTAATTTGCTGCTGCCTACTGAGATTCACAACTCAGATTCTTTTGATGGCGGAAAGCTAGCATCTGCCTTCAGAGGGTGATCTTCAAGGTGAAGCAAGCTATGATGCAGAAGCTGCAGGTCGTTGACACAAATCTTCTTCATCCGTATTTCCCTTTCCCAGTAAGTAAAATGTCCACCAATTTTAAACGCCAAGTCATCATCTTCAGCATTGCCATTTTCGGTCATTGCCATTGAGGGAGACTCACCATCTTGTAAACGGGCTGACCATTTGGACTCATCCATGACTATAGAGTTCAATCTAACAATAAGAATATCTACAATGTTAGTATGAACCAACTTACAACATGCCTTAATGTTACTCAAACCATAATATTGGCAAGACCTACCGAAAGCAAACCATTTATTGAATGGGTTGAAATCAGAAGAAATTATATATTTGATGACAAAACTTCAATAATTGTGTAAATCAAACACACTATTAATTGATGCAATCGGAACGGTTCTTCTTCTATGGTTCAACTAAGCTTAAAAAGGTTGCCTTCCAAATATGAGATTCAAATCTGCACAGAAAATTTCCATTCATATGAGACTAACCTCAGCCTGCTTGCTGCTCACCCCTCTCTCTAGTGGAGCTTACGCCTTCCACTTGTTACGACTAAACAACTAAGCTAGGAAAGGAACATCAATTTGCTAATCAGTGACTTCAACATGAACAAACCTCCAGTGATTTCTGATTTAGACCTGAAGACACCCTATCCCTCCCACGCTAAAGAGAAATTCATTTCAAAAGTGGAGGAAGAATCTCCTCAGTTTCAATAGAAAAATGTTTCATTTTAATATCACATTTCTAATATGGCACTTAATTACCTATCATTATCGAGAAAATCTAAAAGCAACAAGAGCAAAGCTCAATGTGACTAGCATTGCCAACAAGAAAAGCGCTAATAAGCTTATTAAGACTTTAATTTCACTCAGATAATTGCCTGTGGACTTCATATCTGCCCCACTAACAGCTTACCGCAAGGGTGACAAACATGCATGACCACGATTATATCCTAATAAAATAAATTTAAAAAGATCTGCAAGATTGTAACCACTATTAATAGAAATGGTGAATGTTTCTTACTTTTTAAGTATGGTCTTTGTGTCTGTCTCACCATTCACTCTAAATGAGGCATCCACAACATCCTCTTTCAACTTCACAAGACCCTCGAAAAGACCACATGATTTGCATGTAAAGTGTATTGCTGATTCTGCAGTCTCTAAGCTGATGTTCCTAATTCTAATTATAACAGTTTCCGAAGACTGCAGTGGCCATATTAGGAGAGAGACTTCCTTCACTGTTACATAGCCCATTGATAATGCTTCCTTTCTTGACTTCTCAAGCTGGAAAATCATATATTAACACTTTATGTTTTACCCAAAAGAATAGGTGACCGTATGAAGAGGGGAAAAAGACATGGAAAAGGAGGAAGGAAAGTTCTATAGTCAAGAAAGAAAATACCTTAAATTCAATGTCACAACAATCAAGTCCGTTTGGAACTGACCTTTTGGAAAACTTTGACACCTTGCCAAAAACTGAAATTGTTTTCTTCAACTTGAGACAGTCGATTATAGAAGGTACATTCTTAATCGTAACAGAATGTGAAGTTCTGAAATTAGATTTTTCGTCATTATTGTTCTGAAGATCTAGAGAAGGAACAGAAGACTTTGCAACTTTATGTGACACATCCTTGATGTTAAGGTGGCTGTCTGCCTTAAAATGTGACCCATTTAACTTCTTTTCAGCACCACCAATTTTCTACATAAATTAGAGAATTTAGATGGTGATCAAGTCAGAGCACAATTGACAACATGGAAAGCGGAAATAGCAGTGAAAGTTTATTCATTATACATGCACTAGCAGTGAGATGTCAAAAGGAAAATACACAAAAGAACATGCAGGAATGATCGCGCACACACAGCCAGCTCAGACATGATTGGCAATAGAGAGAGGAAAGGGAGGATAAGAAAGAATGCTTACCACAAAATGCTCAGGCTTTCCCGTCTTCAGTTTCCGAATAATACCTCCAACCCTTTCCTCTGGTAAGCCTAATTCTGCAAAATCATCATCATCTGTTGAAGTATGCAATGACCGCTTTAAGCTCTCAAACCCTTTTGACTGAATGCTGCAACCACCCGTACATAAGATAACTTCATATATAATATGTGCAAATAGAATCTATGAATTCCAGTATTAGATATATAATGCAAATAGAATCTATGAATTCCCGTACATAATGCACTACTTGAATGTATGATCTTATTGGAAAATAAAACAGCAGCTTGATTCTGCTCCTAAAAACTGCAAGAATGTTCGCACACAGAAAAGCTTTTCATTTACAAAGCGACACTAATTATTGCATTATTCTTATCTTCTCACACATTCCAAAATACTAATATTAAAAATGAAAGCATGTTGATGAAAAACAGGAGCACGATGCTAGTAGAGAGTATTGATTCAAATGACTCCCTCATTAATGCAATCATATGAGCACGTCAAAACAGCTGTGGAATAATAAAGCATGCATTACAGAAGAATTGTAGAAACTCTTGAACATACTACTGTTGAAATCACACTACATCTCAGAGCCAATACTACCGAGGCATGTCAACAAGCATATCCAAATAATGGCCTCAACTTCACATAAATGAAGTTTCATCCATCAATATACTAAAACAAACAAAGTAAAACAATGACTCCTATCATAATAACAAATAAGCTTTCTCATCCTCCAGCAAGAAACCATGCTAGGTGCCTTACTGTATTCTTTTATGCGATAATGTAATAAAGGCGACAATAGTTGCTACACTCATGTTAATCCTAGTCTATAGTGTCCAAATTCCTTGCAAGAGAGAAATGACTTACTACTACTAAGGGTGTGTTTGGTTCACGGAATGTAAGATTACCAGTGGGAATAAAAGATTACCAGGGAATATGATTACTGGGAATGTTGTATTTTGTGTTTGGTTGGTTTAGCAGGAATGTAAGATTACCGTGTTTGGTTAAAGGAATAAAAGATTATTGGAATGTATATTTGACCAAATTATCCTTATTATATATTTGTATAATATTACAATTGTAAATATTTATATATTTTCTTTAAAAAATTAAATTCATATTTTAATTGTTTTACAAAATAAAAAATATAAAAAAGGTTTAATGAAAGGGTAAATTTTTTTAACCCCTTAACTTCATATAAAATTTTAATTATAGGTCTTTTTTGTAAATCTAAAATAATTTAAGGATAAATTTATAATTTAACCTTCGTAGAATTTTTATTATTCAATGACAGAAGAATGATATTTTCGAAAAAAAATAAAAATTTAAAATCATTTTAGTCCAAAACGCCGGTAATATTACAATACATAAGGGGAGGGAGGTAATGACATTCCCGGTAATACACCCAAAAAATCTACTATTGGTAATAAAACATTACCGGAAATGAGATTTCCGGCCAACCAAACATGTCCTTGAACCAAACACCCCCCTAAAAGATAAACCCTTAACAGAATCACCCACAAATGGTTTTTTGTCAAACATCATCCCATCATGGTATGAAACTTAAGAAACAAAGCACAGCTAAATTGTCAAGAATCAGATTTACAGAGGAACGTGAAATGCCGAAACTCCTTTTCGCATAGTTCGATCAGTTAATACCATAACAAAAGGAAATGTATAGCATTGAGAAGGCAAAATTGTAAACGAGCCATAATAATACATTAAAGAAAAGCAAGTCGTAATAAAATAAGCAGAGAAACTTGCCAGGTAATAGGAAGCGCTGTTTTCCTCGCTGAAACAAAGCCACTATAACCTGTGGGGAAATTGTTCGGTGCGTCAGTTTCATCGTTTTGGGTTTATTGCGAGTTAAAAGATAGGGAAGAGGGGGGAAAGGATACAGTTTTTTTAGAACTTACCGGTGAATAGATGATAGACTGGAACTCGGAATCTGCACTTAAGCATCGCCTCCGAGCTTGCTTGCAGCGCTCTTCTCGTACGATAAACGAGCGCGGCTTCAGGGCATCGAAACGACAAAAATGGAGAATCGAAACGACCGTGTTTAAAACCATTCTCCAAATAATGGCGTGCTTGTTTAGGGCTAGATATGGGTCGGGCATAGTTGGGTTTATTGCGGCCCGTATTTTCTCGTGACATAATATTTTCGTTTATTTATGATTCTATCGTATATGTTTAGAGCTAGGATTGATGTAATTTGATGATGGTTTCTTCCTCTTCAAATCAGCTCTCAAGTACTTAAATCCACCTTAATCTGCAACTCTTCACACACCTTAGTAATCCTTCAAATGTCGAACCACACACAGTCAATACGCAGCCCAAAGGATTCTAAAACCATCATCCAACAATGCCAAAAAGAAGGAAAACTTTGGTTACATATACCTGCATTCTTGGGCAATGATCTCCGGGAGCCTTGTCCATGAGCTTGGTCAAAATGTCATCCTCTTCCGCCGTCAATCTCCCGATTCTCACAACACTGCGCCCGGCCCTCCCCCATGACAAGCACTTGCGCCACTCAGCTCCAAAAAGTATACAACTTTGTCCCTTGCTGTAATCCGATGAGAGCAACAGGAAGATAGTAGCAGTTTGACTAGCGGAGTGGTTACTTATTGAATTGCTTGTCGTTATATACTAGACAATGATCAAATTATAGTTTAAGAAATAAAATTAAGTGTAAAGGGTACCTGATAGCTCGAATTTTAATTTTGTCGATCTTATTTTATAACCTCGATTATTAGTAATGCAAGGTATCATTTTAATAAAAAATTGAATTAGTTGGGGAAGACAAATGCTTACCTCTAAATTTGTCATTGGATGATTTTTATATTTCCTACACCTAAATAATTTTTAACTTTTTTTATTTGTAACTAATTAATCTTATATTTCAAATGAAAAGTTTCTCTATATTTTACTGAATTTAAATATAAAATCACAAATGAATGATTAGAGGCTTATATGGAGATTTTTTTATTAAACATGTAGGGGACTTCTTTCAACCGATTATATGGATAGAAATAAAATCAAAATAGAAACTTGTACCTCTCTCGATGTTTAGAATTTCTCTCTGCAACACGCTGCCGGCCGAATCACCATAGAAGCATCGGAGCAACAGGATGCGACCAAAACAGTCCGCTTCAAACCCCCAAGAGAGGCAGAGGAACAACATGATGAGATGGATGTAGAGGGTGGCGAAACTTTGGCTGAAAACATATCTACCCAGGCGCCTTCATACCCACTAGTCCTAACGGGCAGTGGTAACCAAACGAACGGTTCTGATTCGGATAAGGACTCTTGGATGAGGATATAATCACTGGAATCCAATCCGGTTTACCATCTATTCAATTTTACGATCGGGCTTATAAGCTCATGGAAGCGAGCATGGCCAGGACTGCTGTGTTGAAGTTGCTGGGCAGGAACATAAGTCTAAACGCTCTATCCAACAGAATTTTCACGCTATGACAGCCTTCTCAGCCGTTTACTCTTATGGATCTCGAGAATGGCTATTTCTTAGCCAGATTCAAAATGAAGGAGGATTACATCAAGGTTCTAACAGAAGGTCCATGGATCATATTTGACAAATATCTCACAGTTCAACCTTGGTCGATGGACTTCCGTACATCCCAACCTTACCCGACGTTAGTCATTGCTTGGATTCGGTTCTCCAGTTTACTGGAATATATGTATAATAAAAAAATTCTCAGCAGCATTGGAAACCTAGTGGGTCGAGTGGCCAAATTAGACTTCCATAAAGACACGAACCATCGTAGAAGATTTGCAAGAGTGGCGATTTACATCGATCTTACTAAGCCACTTGGGTCGAAAATCATGATCCTGAATAAGGTTTAGATAGTGGAATACAAGAACCTCATATCTGTGTGCTTTTCTTGCGGTTGCTTTGGGCATATGAAGGAGGCGTGTAAGGCCGAGAAAACGTCCCTCCACTCTAACCCGACTGATCCGGAGACCATTATCCCCAACAAAAATCATATCGAAGTTGTTGGTGACGATAACCGGACTAATACTGACACCATGACACCCGGTGAAAATCAGGCCTCCTCGGAGTTCGACCTGTATGGTTCTTGGATGGTAGTCGAACGTCGTCGACGACGTTCGACCTCATGGTCTGGCGAAAAAAAAGGATCAACCTAAACATTTATTGTAAATACCACTTCCAAGGACATTCTGGACATGAGCAATCAAGAATGCATGAGTAATACGCACATGCAGAACTCAAATGCACGTCCAAATTGGCCTTTGTGTCTAAGGATGTGGTGGCCCCCATAACTGCATCACTCAAAACAAGTGGGAAACAAAATGGGCCCATTTTGGAACATAATGATGGCTCTACATCCATGAAGGAGACCAAGTCCACTGATCCCATGCACGTGGAGCTGCAACAACAAATTAATTATGTGCACTGCACCGGTTCGGTAACACTCAGTGGCTCTAATTTTTTCCTCTTGTTCTAATCCAATTTTTGACGACGTCGGAGGTTTGGAAGGACAAAATTTGGTGACTACCCTCGACTCAAGGCACCACCAAGCTGTAGGATTTAACAGAGAATCATCGAGGGGCCAACAAACGCGTACTTCCCCACAAGCCACAGTCCCTTCTAAGGTATCGGTTGGTCTTAAATTCGTTCTAACCCTTATGTGATTAGAAACAAATCGAGGGCCAAGGCCGAAGCTTCTATTAACTCACCTATTAAGGCAACCATGACCTCGACAATAGAGAACATAGACGGCCAACTCTCGAAGCAGGCCAAGGATATTGGTAACAAGGGCAGTGTTTAAGACCCTAGATCGTTACGGTACCCCTTCCAATCTCTCTATGGATTTTAAGCTATTAACTTGGAATTGCCAGGGATAAGGGAGTACACCAACGATCATAAGCCTCATTTGGTGGCGCTCCTGAAGACCCGCATAAGCAGTTACAAAGCTGATCAGGTGATCACCAAATTGGGTTTCCTTAACTACTTTAGGGAGGAAGCTGTTGGCTTCCGGTGGAATATGGCTCTGGAATGATCACATCATTTTTAAACCCTCAATTTGTTCAGGTGAAGGTTTCCTCGCCAAACTATATTATCTCATTTTTTATAACTATTATCTATGACAGCCCGAATAAAACAAAGCGGAAGAATCTTTGGACGGACCTTGATGATATGCGGCTGGCTGATAATAGTCCTTGGGTTCTGGAAGGTGACTTCAATGCGATTCTCTTTAACGATGAAAAGCGTGGGGGTGGTCGTTGTGGTAAAGGTTACAGACCGTTCACTGATTTTTTGAATAAGCATAATCTGATGGATTTGGGATTCAAAGGTCCACCCTTCACGTGGAATCGTGGCGACATCTTTGAACGGTTAGACCGCATGGTAGCCAATGATGGTTGGATCAGGATGGCTCCGAACTTGGTTATTAAACATTTGCCCCGTATTAAGTCTGATCACCACCCCAATCTGCTTCAGTCGGCCAGGACCTATACCCCTCCTCACTCCAAAACTTTTCGTTTCCTTGCGGGATGGGCCAAACACCCTCAATTCAATAATTTTGTGTAGGAGAACTGGCTCCCCGGAGGTAATATTTGTTACTTTCTAAACACTTTTACCAAGTCTCTAACTAAGTGGAACGAGGAAGTTTATAGGCACATCTTCCTAAAGAAGAAAGAGCTTAAAACTGATATGGCTACTATTCAAGAAGATATTGATAAACGAGGCCACCCCTATCTTTTTGATAAAGAGCTAGAGATTCATACCAAGTTTGAAGAGGTTTAGGACCACGAAGAACCGCTTTGGCGCAAAAAATCGAGAAGTGACTGGATCCTGGAAGGAGATAGAAACACCAAATATTTTCATAAAAGAGCTATTACCCGGAGGAAAGTCAATTGCATACAAGCCTTGAAACTTAATAATGGCGAGTGGTGCTGTGTCGAGGAAACCCTCCAACAGGAGGCTACCTCCTTCTATGCTTCGTTGTATGGAGATGAGGGTGGTAGAACCAGTTCTTTCCTCATCAGGAACTCGTTTCCTAAGTTGAGCCAAGAAGATTTCAGGCGTCTCAATGCCACGGTTTGTGATGATGAAATTAAGAAACACTACAAGAAATTTCTACTATGACAAATTTAATTTTCTCAAAATTTATTTTGTCACTATTAATAATTTTTTTGGCGACAAAATAAAAAATCATCGTATTTGATTAAAAAAATATATACAATTATGACACAAACTAAATCGTCATAATAATTTATCACAATTAACAAACATGTGTAACATATGATGACAAAATAAATTTTATTACTAATTTTTGTCACAAATGTTTCCCTCCAATTTTTTGACGCAAAATTGAAAGTATATGGTGACAACTTTTGTAATTAAAAGTTTTAGTAACTATGACAAAAAAATTTGTCACGACAAAAAAATTTGTTACAACAAATAATGAGATTTAGGTTTGTTGTGACAAATTTTGTTTGTAATTATATATTTTAATTATAGTGACAAAATGTATAATCACAAATGATTATCTCTAATTTTTGGTAAAAAAACAAAATCATATAGTGATATGTTTTGTAACTATAAGCTATAATTATTGTTACAAAAAAAAATTATCACAACAAATAATGAGATTAAAGTTTTTAGTAAAAAATAATATTTGTCGTTATATGTTTTAATTATAGTGACAAAATATATTGTCACAAAGATTCCCCTCCATATTTTTTGCGCAAAAATAGTCATATAGTGACAAATTTTGTAACTATAAGTGTTAATAATTATTACAAAAAATAATGATATTCATATGTTTTGTGACAAATTATATTTGTAGTTATAAATTTTAACTATAGTGATAGCATATATTAATTGTCATAACTATTTTTCTCCACTTTTTTTGTTTAACAAGTTATATTGAAAATTTTTATAATTATAATTTATAGTTATTGTTATAGAAAAAATTATCACATCAAATAAAAAATTCAGGTTTTTTTGTAAACAATTATTTTTTAACTTATATATTTTAATCATTATGAAAAATTATACTATCATAACCATTTATCCCTATTTTTTAGTGTCAAAAATATTATATAGTAACAAAATATATTATCATAAAGATTTTCCTCCATATTTTATTGCGTCAAAAAAATCATATAAT